AGGGTGGGGAATAGGTAACTTTTACCCTGCTGAGAGGTGAAATAGACTGAAATTAACCACAAATCATCATTTAATACTTCAGTGGAATTTGCAAGCCTCAATAGACTCAGAGTTCCAAAATAGTTAACATGAGACAGATTCTGCCAGTGAAGTTTTTTTCTAGTTGGGGAGACTCATTCCTTATGCTTCCTACGCTGCCATCTTCCCAGAATCATCTCTTCCTGATCTTGAAGAAATGGATGATTTCAGATTTGGAGCAGAACTGGTTCAAGATATCAGACAACAAGGAAGCTACTAGTGGAGTCATATCAAAAGGATAGGCTTGAATAGCCTTCCCCCAGCCAAAGATGAGACCACATAAGCTTCAATAATAATAATAATAATAATAGTGAACTGAAATCCATAAAATATGTTTAAATTAATGACCTCATACTGATATTAGATTAAAAATTTTTTTTTACAGTAGGTCCTTGTTGGTTATCTATTTTAAATATAGCAGTGTGGGGCTTCCCTGGTGGCACAGTGGTTGAGAGTCCGCCTGCCAATGCAGGGGACACGGGTTCGTGCCCCGGTCTTGGAAGATCCCGCATGCCGCAGAGTGGCTAGGCCCGTGAGCCATGGCCGCTGAGCCTGCGTGTCCGGAGCCTGTGCTCCGCAACGTGAGAGGCCACAACAGTGAGAGGCCCGCGTACTGCAAAAAAAAAAAAAAAAAAAAAGAAATATATATATATATATATATAGCAGTGTGTTTATGTCAGTCCCAAACTCTCAATCTATCCCTGCTCCCCCAACCATAAGTTCATTCTCTAAGTCCGTGAGTCTCTTTCTGTTTTACAAATAAGTTCATTTGTATCATTTTTTTTAGATTCCACATATAAGTGTTATCATATGATATTTGTCTTTCTCTGTTGGACTTAACTTCACTTAGTATGATAATCTCCAGGTCCATCCAGGTTGCTGCAAGTGGCATTATTTCATTCTTTTTAATGGCTGAGTAATATTCCATTTTATATATACCACATCTTCTTTATTGATGGACATTTAGATTTTCTTCCATGTCTTGGCCATTGTAAACAGTGCTGCAATGAACACTGGGGTGTATGTATCTTTTCGAACTGTGTTTTTCTGCAGATATATGCCCAGGAGTGGAAATGCTGGATCATATGATAGCTTTATATTTTAGTTTTTTAAGGAACCTCCATACTGTTCTCCACAGTGGCTGTATCAATTTACATTCCCAACAACAGTGTAGGAGGGTTCCCTTTTCTCCACACCCTCTCCAGCATTTATTGTTTGTAGATTTTTTGATGATGGCCATTCTGACTGGTGTGAGGCGATATCTCGTAGTTTTGATTTGCATTTCTCTAATAGTTAGCAATGGTGGACATCTTTTCAGGTACCTCTTGCCCATCTGTATGTCTTCTTTTTGTAAAAAAAAAATTATCTATCTTTGGCTTCGTTGGGTCTTCGTTGCTGCGTGTGGGCTTTCTCTAGTTGCAGCAAGCTGGGGCTAGTCTTTGTTGCTGTGTGCGGACTTCTCATTGCAGTGGCCTCTCTTGTTGCAGAAGCATGGGCTCCAGGTATGCAGACTTCAGTAGCTGTGGCATGTTGGCTCAGCATTTGTGACGCGCAGGCTCAGTAGTGGTGGCACACGGGCTTAGTTGCTCCATGGCATGTGGGATCTTCCCAGACCGGGCTTGAACCCGTGTCCCGTGCGTTGGCAGGCAGACTCTCAACCACTGCATCATCAGGGAAGTCCCTGTATGTCTTCTTTGGAGAAATGTCTGTTTAGGTCTTCTGCCTATTTTTTCACTGGGTTGTTTGTTTTTTGGATGTTGAGCCGCATGAGCTGTTTGTAAATTTTTGAGACTAATTCCTTGTCGGTCGCATTGTTTGTGAATATTTTCTCCCGTTCTGTGGGTTGTCTTTTCATTTTGTCTGTGGCTTCCTTTGCTGTGCAAAAGGTTTTGAGTTTAATTAGGTCCCATTTGTTTATTTTTATTTCCATTACTCTAGGAGATGGATCGAAAAAGATATTGCTGTAATTTATGTCAGAGTGTTATGCCTATGTTTTCCTCTAAGAATTTTATGGTATCTGGTCTTACATTTAGGTCTATAATCCATTTTAATATTATTATTAATAATAATAATTGCAGTGAACTGAAATGTATAAAATATGTTTAAATTCACAACCTCATACTAATATTAGATTTTTAAAACAGGATTATCTTCAGAAGATAAGGAACCAATTCATTTTCTTGAAAATTGGTAAATCAATGGAAGCACCATTAATGTGGGACCTTCTTGACATATAAGAACGACCCAGAGGAGAGGAAGCTAGGTTTCAGAGGTGGTTTGCATCTGGTTCACCCTTATTCTGAGAGTTATAGCCCATCTAGGTAACAATTTTAAATGGGGGAGTGACTTTGATTTTAGCATTCATTTTCACAGATTTTTCTTTGGATTTGGCAAATGCCTTCAGGGAAAAAGTGAATTTTAATCTTCTTGATTTTTTTCCCTTGATAATTCGTCATTATCTTATTAGTTCTTTAATGCTTTTAAGAAGAAGACATTTCTTTAACATAGTTTATTCAGCTTTTTTCATTGTCTTTGGAGGCAGAGTTTTCTGCTGTACTATTACCAAAAAGTAGGCTACTCACCTCATGGAATTTAGTCTTATGTAGACGTGTTCATATAAAACAAATTACACAGATAACTAAGCTGTGTAATTTGTAGAAAAAGTCTAAGATAATATACAGTGGTATGATTAGGTAAGATCTGTTTCATTCAGCATACTAATATATGGCAATAACACCAATTATCTATAAGTTTCTATGTTTCAGGTTCTACGTGCTTTCTATATGTTGTCTGACTTAATTCAGCCTATGAGATATAGGTATTACTGTGTTTTCTTTTTTACAGATGAAGAAATCAGGGCTCAAAGATGTTGAGTTTGTCCATGTCACACAGTTTAATAAATGGTTAAGCTGCTAGTCACTCAGGCCACCTGACTCTGAACCTCTAAACCTTTATACTTTACTCTTTGTAGTGCTAGAAGAGCATATAAAAAGAGGACCTGATCTAGTCATGGGATCAGGGGAGATTTCCCTGAAGAAGGAAATATGAGTCGAGAGCTGGAGGTCAAGTATGAGTTAACTAAGTGAAGAGGATAAGAGTGCCTAGCCCTAGAACCTGGAGGGAGATGACACTTTGAAGATCTGAAAGAAGTCTGGTGTGGCTGTTAGGGAGATTGTTAGACTATGTGGCTCCACACCCTTGGGGGATTCTCTTACATTGATATTTACTCCCCTTATGTTTGCTACAGACGTATTCTTCCCACTTTAAAACTGGCTTACTCCTGATGGTGATGCAGTAGGAAGAACACAGCATCACCTCGGAAGTATTCTTGCCAAAAAATACTGAACCTGAATTTAGATGTAACTAGTTTACAAGAAATACAGGGAATGAAGAAATATGTTAAATGATAAGAATACAATAAGCCAAATCTGAAATGTGAGTAACTCTATAAGACAAATGGCCTATTTCTTCAACAAATAAATGTCAGGTTAAAAAAAAAGAGGGTGGGGGAGATGAGTGAGGTTGTTACAGATTAAAAGAAATTTAGGAATGCTATATGCATTCCTTGAATAAAAACCCCAAAAGACATTTTTAAGACATTTGGGGGAGAATTGAACATGGGCTAGATATTAAGTGATAGTAAGGAATTATTATTATAATTGGGTGTGACAGTGGTATTGAAGTTATGTTTAAAAAGGGTCTGTATTTATTAGAGATGAATACTGAAATATAAGTGGGTAAGGAAGAAATGAAACAAGTATGGAAGAATGTTGGTTATCATTGAACCTGAATTAATGGATACTTGGGTTCATTGTACTCTTTCTCTACTTTTATGTATTTTTGAAAATTTCTCTAATGAAAAGTTTAAAAACTAGCTGAAAGGTGATAGCCGTTGAAGTTGGCTGATATTTTTGAGAAGTATCTTTATTTAAAATAAAGGTGGGAGGGGTGAACATAGTGGGTGACTTAGTTGTTGGAGACCAGAATTTAAAGGGGAGAGAGTACTCTGTGATGTCAAGCAGCAAAAATGGCAGAATTTGAGAATTTGTAACATGTTACTAGGTTTAGCTGAAAATGAATTATTGGTGGCTAGTAAATTGTTTAGTTGGATTTCACTACCTGAAGCAGGTATAAAAGGACAGAATGGTGCTTTGCAAGAAATACTGAACTAGCAGCGGGGAGACCTACTTCTAAGGAATCTTGGGAAGATCATTTTACCTCTCTGGGTCTCAGATGGTTTTAGCATCTGATATACTGGTACAATTCTCCCAGCACTCTCTCTTGCCAGCTCTGGGCAGCTATAGATTTTGGATTAAACAATTTCCGAGGTTCTCTCAAGCTCTGAGATTCCATGATGCTAATGAATGTGTGTGTGTGATTGTGCCTCTGCAAAGGAGCAGTTAGATATCAAAAAATCCAAGGAAATATTTTCCTACAGAGTGGCACAGTCTTAGACAACAAGAGCAAGTGATGGGAGGGTAAACTTAATATAAACCTTTGTGTGTGCCATACAGAATCCTTTGTTGCTAGTTTCTTAGCTACTTAATAAAGACCACCTAAGAATGGGGCACGTCATTTACCCTTCGAATTAGTCCAGTGAATTGTTAGACTGGCCTGTAACTTTGGGTCAGACACAGTTCTTTTAGTTTTTTGGGGAAGCAGCTTCCAAAAAACATCAATTTATTTATTAGCATCACTTGCTTTTCATATTATCTAGTTAAAACAAATAGTTTTCTTTGTGTGTATGTATGTAAAACCCCATAATGCTTTATTTCTGGAGGAGAACATTATAAAATTCTTGAAATCAGTTTTCTTAGAGGTCATAAAAGTTTTGACACAGGAATACTTAAATTGCCTAAGAGTAGTAGGTTCTTTTAGATGTAATTTCCTTTAACAACTGCTGCACTTTTTTCTTAATTTAGGCAACTCACACATTTTTATTGCCAACCTCTACTTCCTTTGACTCTACAAAGAAAATTGTATCTACAGCAGCCCCTAAAGCCCAGGAGTCCAGCAAATCATCAGACGGACTCATGACTGAAAAACAGGTAAACCTAAAATATTTGAAGCCAGTGTTTGTCAAACTATATGTCAAAGAATACCACATCTACAAATGTGAAAAATCTTACTTTCAAAGGCTGGTTTAGTAAAATCATTTTGGGAAATGATGAGTTAAAGACTATTAAGTGATACCATTATTCTAAGACTTCACAATACAGTAAGTCCCCTACATACGAACCTTCAAGTTGCGAACTTTCAAAGATGCAAACGTGCATCTGGTGCCAGCAAGGAACCAGAACCTGTGCCATCCACGTCAGGCGTGAGTGACATTGCAGCTCGCCCTCCGTCTCCTGCTGCTGAGGATTGTTCAGCTCTACCATCTCCCACCTCCTCCCCCTCCTCCAGTCAGTAACTCTTCCTGCCCGTTTACTTGATACCAGCCCCTGTATGCCAGCTGTTGTACTGTACTAGTGTACTTTTCAAGGTACTGTACTGTAAGATTAAACATGTTTATTTTTTGTGTTTGTTTGTTTTTTATGTATTATTTGTGTGAAAAGTATTAGAAACTTATTACAGTACAGTGCTGTATAGCCGACTGTGTTAGTTGGGTACCTAGGCTAACTTTGTTGGACTTAAGAACAAATTGGACTTATGAACATGCTCTCGGAACAGAACTCGTTTGTATGTAGGGGACTTACTGTACTATCAGTCTCCAAAAAGAGGCTTTAGTATACAGTATTTCCTACTTATTTAACACTAATCTGATGAATATTTCATTAGACTGGTGTTCTGCAGCACATACTTTGGAAAATACCATTCTCAACTATTTTCAGAATTTGCAAACAGTTATGTTTTTCTTTCTCTTAAAAGAGCTATCAAAGAACGATATGTGTAATTGGGTCATTCAAAATGTGTGACATTGTTATTTATAGAGCATTTTGTTTTTATGAGTCATAGTAGGCATCCACTTATATACCCACACAGAGCTTTTGGCTTATCAGCATAATTTTAGTTCTGTGTCATTAATCTTTGTGACCAGAAGACATAAATAAGGGAGAAGGTTGTGGGAGGGAGGAGGATTATAGAAAGGATAAAGAAATGGAAGAAAGTCAGCAGTCAAAAGGAAAGATTTGTTTGGCACTGTGAGTCATAGTGCTATCAGAGAGTCATCATAATAATTCGTTTTTTGTCTTGATAGATTTTTTTTAAATTGAAGTATAGTTGATTTACAGTACTGTATTAGTTTCAGGTGTACAACACAGTGAATCAGTATTTTTACAAATTTTACTCCATTAAAAAATATTATAAGGGCTTCCCTGGTGGCACAGTGGTTGGGAGTCTGCCTGCCGATGCAGGGGACACGGGTTCGTGCCCCGGTCTGGGAAGATCCCACATGCCGTGGAGCGGCTGGGCCCGTGAGCCATGGCCGCTGAGCCTGCGCGTCTGGAGCCTGTGCTCTGCAACGGGAGAGGCCACAACAGTGAAAAAAAAGAGAACCGCAAAAAAAAAAAAAAAAAAAAAAAAAAAAAAATATATATATATATATATATATATATATATATATATAAAATAAGATAATGGTTATAATTCTCTAGCTATATGGTGTATCCTTGTTGCTTATCTATCTTGGTAGATATTTTAATGTCTGAGGGGCATTTGGATGTGGAGAATACTTTTAAAAATTGTCTAGGTGGGTGGGAGGGGAGAAGTCTAAATTATTAATCTTGAAGTTATTATGATATTTACATACTCTACACTAATGAAAATGTATAAAATATATTTTTTCAAGCATTTAAATAGATTGAAAATTCACTCAAATTATGTTTTCACAAATAAATAAGATACTTAAGGTATTTTTAAAAAGAACACAAAGTACCTCACACAGTGATTTCAAAATTGATCATTGTACTTAAATTAAGAGCCTGTTATAAAACTGTTAAGATCATGGATTTAAATGTGTCATTTAAAAAAATCTCCATTTCTGTTATCTGTATTTTATGTTCTTATTTTTCTTCCCATTGTTAGGTTTTTATTTATTTTAGTTTTTATTCTTTTTTAATCTAGAGAGTGAGAGTTACCCTCTCAGGTTTATGGTGTAAATACATATTTAGAATCAGCAATACAAAACTTGAGTGTCTTTCAGAATGATTCTACTAGAATCAGTTACCTGGATGGGCAGACTCCTTTTCATAGTTAGTTCCTTGTATGATGGACAAGTTCCATCTAAATTACTGGCTCTGTCAAGTCAGATATGTTTTGATTTTGTTGTGACCCTAGTCAGGATTAAAGTGACACTTGTTTCTTAGTGACTCAACCTTCCTTTACTCTTAAATTAATATAACCTAATTTGCAGCTTTTTATTTTGATTGGGGCCTGGTCTGGTTCAGTTAAATAAAAAACCTAAGGGCGGGACTTCCCTGGTGGTCCAGTGGTTAAGACTTGGCCTTCCAGTGCAGGGGGTGTGGGTTCGATCCCTGGTTGGGGAGCTAAGAACCCACATGCCTCGCAGCCAAAAAACCAAAACATAAAACAAACAATATTGTAACAAATTCAATAAAGACTTTAAAAAAACAAAAAACCTAAATTCTGTTTGTTTCACTGAAATTACAAGGTTTTTAATTTTTATTTAATTTATCCATGAAGGCCTATATATGAGTATTCTGGAATTATATAATGTAATTATCTGTGCTTCTTTGCATCCTTTTTAGTCTCTTAATTTTGTTAGAAACAAATTTGTTTTAATTTTAATCATTATATGTGTATAAAAATTCCTATTAAAGCTTTTGGAGAAAAAGTCTGTTATTTTGGAAACAAAGGAAATTATATACAAGGGTATTTCTTCACCTTATATCTTGAAGTTGATCCTTTTCTCCCTCGTAATTGTAGCGGGAAGAAGCAGAATGGGAAAGCATAAACGTGCTGTTGCTGATGCATGGCTTAAAACCTTTATCTCTAGTCGAAAGAACAGATACGAAAGGTAATCAGGTCCTATTCTTGCTTCTTAAGATAAAAATGTTCTTTTTCTGTTAAAAAATTTTTGATGTTCAATTTTTTTCCTTATCTTTATTTTTACTATGTGTATTACATTTCAAAAAATGTAGATCTCATCATTTTTGACAAACAGTCATCACAAAGGATGAGGGAGAATTTAAAAACTTTGATGGAAGAAACATCACGTCAACAGAACATGATCCAGGAGCTCATAGAAACTAATAAGCAGCTTAAGTAAGAAAATGGAAAAAAAAGATCTCTTTTCAATTGTTTGTGTACAAGTGGTATGCATTCTAAAAATAACTCCCTTGAAAAAAATCTTGAAATTTAATTTTCCATTGTGATTAAATATTAAATTAAAAATGTTTTTAGTAGGTAAATCTTTTGGTAATAGCTTAGCTTAGATATGGTATCCTATATTTCTTCAGTTGGTTTGTGTTATAGGATAGAAATTTTAAGAATGCAAAGAAATTTTAGAAACTCATTGTGTTGTTAGATGGATATGTTTGTTGATATGTTTTATTTTTATTACTAAGGGAGGAATTGTGTATGTGTTATTAGAAATGAACTTCAGCTACAACACAGCCGAGCAGCAGATCAGGAACAACGAGCTAATGACTTGGAACAAATTATGGAGAGTGTGAAATCCAAAATTGGTGAAATGGAGGATGAATCCCTAAATAGGGTTTGCCAGCAACAGAATAAAATAAAAGAACTTCAAAAGGAGCATAAAGCTTTACAGGTACTGAGCTAAACATTTTCTTACATGATGGTATTAAGACAGCTTGTCAGGGTTACAGGTGACTTCGTGTTGCTTAATTCAGTGGTCCTTATCTTACTTGACCTATCGTTGTTGCCTTGAAATACTTTATTTGCTTCATTTCCAGAACATCCTCTCTTCTGGTTTTCCTCAACCCCACTGGTTATTTTTCAGCTCCTTTGCTGATTCTTCTCATCTTCCTAACCTCTTAGTGTTGGATTCCCCAGACCTTTCCCTTTCCTATAAATTCTAACTCCCTTGGTGATGCTCAGTCTAATTCACAGCACTTTTAAATCCATAGCGCACACCTCTTCCCTTAATTTCAGACTCACATCCTGCACCCTACTTGATATCTCTACTGGATGTCTAATAGACATCTAGAACTTTTTTACATGTCTAAAACTGAGCTCTGAATTTCCTTCCTAAACTTTCTTCTTTTAGTCTCCATTCTGGTCCAAGTCACCTTCATTTCTTTCCTGCTTCTCTCTTGGTTTCCCTACTCCCACCCTTGCCTTTTTCAATGTGCGCTCAACATAGTAGCTCAAAACACTCCAATGACTTTCCTTTTTGTTTTTTAAGAGGAAAATCCAAAACTCTTACCATGGCCTTACATGATCTGGCCCCGTGTTACCTTCTGACTTCATCTACTATACCTCTTGCATATTCTGCTCCAGCCACGATGACATTCTTGCTTTTCTTTGAAATTTTCCTTGACCATTCTCACCTCAGGGATTTTGTACATTTTGTTCTTCTTTTTCCCTCTGCCATGCATGCTTTTTTAGAGATAGCTGCATGGTTTGTTTTCTGTCTCCTTACTCAAGTGTCACATCACAATCTCTCAGGGATTCCTTTTTTGACTACTTTGCTTACAGTTGGCAGTCCTGTCCCCCACATATCATATTGCCTTCCGTGCTTTGTTTTATCCATAGTTCTTAGCACCATCTAACATGCTAATATACTATATACACTTTGTTTTGTTTATATATCTCTGTGTTAGAATGTAAGCTCCATGAGGGCAAATATTTTTGTCTATTTTGGTTAGGGCTAAGAAAGTGTCTGCTTTATTATTAGTTGTAGATGCTCAATAAATACTTGAATTATTGAGTTAAATTTACATAATATTTATATGGAATATACTTTGTGATTTTAAGTTGTTTTATTGAAATAACAATGTTATAACATTGAATACTTAATTTCCTAATGTAAAAAACCTCTTATTTCAAACCTCTGGTGTTTCTTATGATTAAATGAAATAAAGTTTTTGTAGTGATAACCAGTATTTAGTTTTATGAGACATTACAGATACTTAGAAACATTATATCATTATAAATCCTTTTTGTCGGCACAACACTATTGCACACAGAGAGTTCAGGCTGCCTAAAAGGGACCACTACTCCTCAAGGCAGCGTCTGGATGTCCCCTCAGTTTATACTGGCAGCATTGGAAGGATCTGATGAGTTAATATAAATTTCAGGAGCCAGAGAGAATCAGCCAGAGATACTAAGAAGTTCTGGTATGAGGCCTCAGACAGTTGGTGTTCTGCCCTCATTTAAGCTGCCAGCTTGGGGTGGACAGTGCTCTACCTGCTGGTATTGATCATTGTTCTGGAGAAGACACTGTCATTCTTTGATGGCCAAGTCTGTTTCTGTTATTCATCAGTCAACAAAATCTTTTACTGTTAGAACTTTACTTTTTTTTTTTTTAATTTATTTATTTTATTTATTTATTTTTGGCTGTGTTGGGTCTTTGTTGCTGGGTGCGCGCTTTCTCTAGTTGCGGCGAACGGGGGCTACTCTCCATTGCGGTGCACGGGCTTCTCATTGAGGTGGCTTCTCCTGTTGCGGAGCATGGGCTCTAGGCACGCGGGCTTCAGTAGTTGTGGCACGTGGGCTCAGTAGTTGTGGCTCACGGGCTCTAGAATGCAGGCTCAGTAGTTGTGGCGCACGGGCTTAGTTGCTCCGCGGCATGTGGGATCTTCCTGGACCAGGGCTCGAACCCGTGTCCCCTGCATTGGCAGGCAGATTCTTAACCACTGCTCCACCAAGGAAGCCCAGAACTTTACATTTCTAGGTTTGCTTTGTTAGGTTGCTTTCCTCATCAACGTTACATTCAAACTCTCTCTACAGGGAGGGGGATTTTGGAAATATTTCTGTATACGTTTGATTTTGACCTTGCTCTCAGATATAGGACCATGTGGAAACCTGAAGCTCTTTAACTTATCAACTTACTGATGTGAGAAAGCAGCCATCAGGTGGTACTGAGAGAGGGAGATGAGGGCAGGGGAGAGCAGTGTTGTTTTTTTTTAAGGACAATGCCTATTTTTTTTTCAGAGAGGTTGATCTATAAAAAATCACAAAGTCAAATTTTTAAAATATAAGACTTATGAATGTACCAGTTGAAAGAATAGATGCTTGAGGATTCATTGGTAAGAAGTGACTTGGAGTGGCATGTATTTTCTGTCAAGTAGTTCATCTGTTTTAAATGAATTATGGGCCATTAACTTTTTGTTTCAGGTCCCAGAGATTTGTTATGTAGCTTATAAATTGGTACAGAGGAGGTCTCATGTTCCAGTCTGCCGTGGGGGACAGACAGAATTAGGATTGGGGTATGAAAACCTGGTGTTGGGGTAGGGTGTCTATGCTATTTTGCTCAACTGAAATTAGTTGCTTGCTTGTTTGTTTTTTAAGTACCTAAAGGGTACTTTTTTTTTTTTTTTTTGTGGTACGCGGGCCTCTCACCACTGTGGCCTCTCCCATCGCGAAGCACAAGCTCCGGACGCACAGGCTCAGTGGCCATGGCTTACGGGCCCAGCCGCTCCGCGGCATGTGGGATCTTCCCGGAACCTGTGTCCCCTGCATCGGCAGGCGGACTCTCAACCACTGAGCCATCAGGGAAGCCTCTAAAGGGTACTTTTTTATAGAATGTAACAGAAATTGGCAAACCCAAGGAACTGCTGCCCCTCAATGTTGCCTGATTGTCCAGTTCTATTACAGACTAGTCATATATTCTGTACTGTACTAGTTAATCTGTGCTTTCTTGGGGCAGATGGAAGTACTCCTGGAGAAAAATTATTTCACAGTTTGAGGCACATTTTTCTTTTTTTGGCATATGCTTGTTTCCAATTTTAGAATGGTTTAGTGCTGCATATTTTGCAGTTGAGAGAAAGGAAACATTGATTTTGTGTGTATGTGGCAAAGAGATCTAGGAAATTAACAGATGTTTGACAATAATATTTTGAAAGATTGCTCTTGAGAGATTGCTGTTGAGAGATTGCTGGGGAAACGCAGAAACTAAAAGACAACATTGTATTTGCAGTTTCTATGTTCTTCAGTACAGTTTCCCTTTTTCTGTACTTAGCTTCTGTGGATAAAGTTTGATAAACTTTTGGGTCCTCTAAAGATCTAAGCAGATAATTTCAGTTTTAAGTCAACGTGAACAGTATCAGGTAGTTCTCCCTCTTCTTTCTTCATAGAGAGTATATGGATCAGGAAACTGATTTTTACTATTCTTTTAGTGGTTACCTCAAAGATTAAAATATGCACTCTTGACTTCTCAAAATGTAATTTTACTTTGTATTTTTTACCTTATTCCATGACATTGTAACAATCATAAAACAATTTTTGACATTCTCCAACTTATATTATTGTTGTATATTTCAATTCCATATTTATTTTTATTTTCTCTCCATATATGTATTTACTACTGACAGTTGAAATAGCACAAAATACTTCCTTCCTGTTATTATTTAAACTTCTAAAAAGCAGGAAAAAAATTTAGCTCTATATTCTGTGCCCTAATTATTATGTATTATCCAAACTATCTGGTGTAAAGCCACCAAGCTCTTTTTTACACTTCTCCACAAGTTCTTTAGCTTCAATTTATTTTTTTACTTTGTGTTGGATTCCTCTATTGACTTTAGCTTTCTAAAATACACAGGGAGCCATGAAATTGAGTGTTTTTTAGGGCCAAATGAAAAAATAGATCTAATGTATATTAAAGTCAGCAAGATATTCCTAATACATGACTGCCTTATAAGTAACTGATATCTAGGTAGGAAGGATGGCATGGGCTGTTAAAATTGTTACTGCGCCCTCTCCAGATTCTTGGACAGTAATACCATAGAAATGAATATTGCTCCCTCAAGATTCTTAGGCAAGCAAAGCTTTTTATTGAAAGGATAGCTTGAGTACAAGGGAGAAGGTGGAAAAGAGTGCCAACTCCTTGAGGACTTTCAGGGAAAGGGTTTTAAAGGCTGGGTGAGGGAGGGGGCCGCACAGTGCCTGATCAGCTTGTGCTCAATTCTTGCACTGGTTGGCATCAAGGTGAAGTTTCAAGTATCATCAACCTTCTAGTTTCAACCAGTCTGGTGTCTACATGCTTGCAGTCAGCAGTTTTCCTCTGGCGGGGGTCTGCTTCCTGCAAAAATAACTTAGGAATGTGTGTCAGGCCTTTATCTGTATCTGTCAGGGAACTGGGAGTTCAGTGACTCTGCTGTGTGGCAGATTTATAGTCCCACTTTTGTCTTTTGGAAACTATGTACATAACATCAGTGGAACAGAGATAATCTTTTATTCCTGTGGGTCTTTTGGTATTATCTCAGAGGCCCAAGCCTTTAGGCAATTTGGTTTTTTTTGTTTTGTTTTGTGTTTTTGTCGTTTTGTTATTTATTTATTTATTAGCTGCGTTGGGTCTTTGTGGCTGTGCCTGGGCTTCCTCTAGTTGTGGCGAGCAGGGGCTACTCTTCGTTGCGGTGCATGGCTTCTCATTGCAGTGGCTTCTCTTGTGGAGCACGGGCTCTAGGCACATGGGCTTCAGTTGTTGCAGCACACAGGCTCAGTAGTTGCAGCACACAGACCCCCTCAATTGAGATGATCATGTTTTTTTTCCTTTTATTCTGTTAATGTAGTCTATTACATTGGTTCAACGTATGAAAAACCCTTTCTTGCATTCCAGGAATAAATCCCGTTTGGTCATGGTGTATCATCCTTTTAATATGCTGCTGAGTTTGGTTTGCTAGTATTTTGTTGAGTTTTTGCATCATTGTTTAAGGGATATTGGTTTGTGGTTCTCTTTTTTGTGTGTTGTCTGGTTTTGGTATTAGGGTAACACTAACCTCATAGAATGTCTTAGGAGAGATACAGTTGATTCTTGTATCTTGCTTTTACACCCTGCAACCTTGAAAAATTCAATCATTCTAGTTTCATGGCTAATTTATAGAGATGGAATTGGGACCCAAGTCACTTGGCTGTAGAGCTCCTGCCTGGCTTCCAAGGTGGGGCTGAGGCAGAGGATAAATTCTGGGTATACCTGGTGGTTACTGACAGATGGTATGGTACCAGGAGCTGAGTCTCCTTTTTCCCCTGAGGGTCTCTTAAGTCTGTGCAAACTTGACCCTATCGGCAGGTGAACATGTGCTTAGATATGGCACTGTCTTCTGAAAGTGGTGTGTCTTAGTATTGTGCAGGCCAGATGGGGATAGGGTTACTCACTGAGCTTTATAAAAAGTGTATTAATAATAACAGTGATGGTACTGTTGATTATGAGCTTTCTAAGGACACTGAGGGATGGAAACTATCGAATAAAGGAAAACCAGGCTGGTGAGATTTCACTGAAGGCAAGAGTGTATTCAGGATTTACATTCCCTTGTATAAATCTTGGGGTACATATTATTTCTGAACAAATTCCTGGTTTCTCTGAGTTTGCAGTCTACCACATTACATGAATGCCTAAGGTGATTAAACCATCTGAAATCCTGAATTATCGTTGATCACTTAAGAATATTAATTTTAATTCTTGGTTCTTTTGACATCCTTAATATTGGTCTCTTTCTGGTTATTATTTTCATCTAAACATATATATAAAATTATATCAGTTTTATGGAGATTGAGTTCTTTTACTTATTATGAAACCTTGAATGCGTGCAATTATAAGCTATATTTTCCCCATTTTACACTGATTTTACTTGTTATAGTTTTTGCATTTCTGACATATCAGTGTTCCTGGAGCTTGCACCCATTTAAAGACAGGCTCAGTACTGAAGTTCTTGAATGAAGCAGCCTGATAGAAATTGTGAGGATAGCTTTGTGTACAATATTGTTAGGACAGCATGTCCTTGATGTATATATCATAATTATATTTTTTGAAAAATTTCTTACAGGCAAAATGTGAGCATTATAAGAAAAAACGAATGGAGCAACAAGAGACTATTGCTTCTTTGCAGAAGGATATCTGTAGATTAACAAAGGAGGACGAAGAGCGCATCATCACTCAAAACAGAGTGTTCTCCTATCTCTGCAAGAGAGTTCCTCATACCATCTTGGATAGACAGTAATGTTTGCTACGTAAATTGATATGTAGTTAGAGTCATCACTTTTTTAAAAACAGATTTCATCTTGGGTGTGGTTATATCTCTTTTAAACTGGTGAAGTATTCCTCTCCCTCTTCTCTGCTGTTTGTTCGTTTGTTTTAAATGTCATTAACTTTTTGAAGAAAATGGTCAGTTGTCCTGGAGAAGTACATGCTAGATTTGTCTGTTTGCTTCCGTACTATGTCATTTAATTTATTCTTCTATCTCCTATGTTCCCTCTAAACTGGAAGTTAGAGCTAAATTCAGATGCAAGTATTTTTGGTGAAATACTTCATAGGTGGTAATTTATGCTTCTAATTATAACATATCAGGAGGCACATAATGTCTAGTTGACCTACTCTCAGGGATGATGAGATTGTTCAGGGGTTTAAATAATAACAATCTGATCCTTCCACTATAAAATTTATCATCATCCTTTCATCTAATGGTTTCCCCCATTGATGATCTTATTTTCAATTCTGCTATCCCTTTTTTTTCTTTTTCTTTTTTTCCCAGAAGTCTTCCATTAAAAAAAAGAACCTTTCCTTTTGAATAGGGGCTATTTGGTTGCCCTATATGGTTTGTTACAGGGAAGTGCAATGCTCAGTTCTTTCATTTTAATTCTAAGTTTTTAGAGTAAGCAGTGGTTGCCCTAATGATCTCCAATGATAAGCAATAAGATTTTTTGTTTGTGCCCATCTCTCTTTTTTCAAAGGTTGTTATTAACTCGTGGGCTTTCAATGATCAAATTATCTTGTCTTTGGCCGGTGGGATCTTTATCATGTTGGTATTATATCCCTTAGACCCAACTCCATTAATCTTTGTTAGATTTCTTACTTTTAGGCAGAAGATACATCCTGTACATTGTTTTGCCCTAGGAGCTCTTTTGAGGAATCGAGTTAGGTATTTGTTAAAACTAACACTAAACATTTAAAATTAACTCATTTAAAATGAATTAATTAGACATTTCTCAAAAGAGCTCTGGTTCCTTTTAGTCAGGAATAGATTTTAGAGACCACAGTTTGAGTGTTTAGGTTGCTTATCTTACGTTGTCATTGATTTTAGGGCTTTTTAGTGGCAAGTACCAGGAACTATATATATTTCTGAGAAAAATTTCTAACTGAAGTTAACACTGGGTTTTTATTTAAACTCTGATTTTACATTTGTAACGGTTTTCTTTTACACTGAAAACCCTTATTCCTAAGAATAATATCATAATTATTTATTTGCTTTATCCTATAATATAGAAAAAGTTTCAAAATAATAATACCAGTATTGCTACTAACAATAAGCCAACTGAATGAAATTTAAATTTCTTTGCAATTATCTTCGACATTAATAATATATTCCACTATGGGTACAGTCAAAATATAGTGTTCTAAAATATCTTGGAATATTTCTTTTCTGTGTGTTTGTGGCACCAAATTAATATACAGTTAAGTTTACTTGTTTCAGTTTGTTTTCAGTTTTTAGGGCTGGCTTTTAAAATTTATTTACTTTTGAATATGTAAGACGTTTATACAATTATAAAGTCAAAACTGTAATTATTTATATTTGGAGAGGTTTTGTTTTCATTCCTGTCCCCTTAACCTGTTCCTTACTTCTCCCTATAGATAACTTTTTTAGTGTTATTTTTAGCAAATACAAACAGTATGGATATTATATTTCTTTGTATAAAAGATAGCATCTTGTTCTTTTCACTTAATAGTATAAACTAGTTACATTTTAACTAGTCTTATGTGTTTACATAGTAGGACTGGGGATTTTTACTAATTAGGTATGTCTGTTTTATACTATAAAAATAAATGAAGTCACATATAAGTTAAAAACAAGTTGAAACTATAGATTGTTTCAATAATTATTTGAGAGATAATGCACACATATACATGTACACAAATATATATATACAATTTTTATCCTTTTGAAGGACGAAATAGGATAAAAATATAAATAATAAATAATTTAAATAACAAAATGTAGTTGGAGCTAGGTGTGAATAAATAGAAAAGCAAAGAAAGGAAAATAGGAGTAAGGAAGAACAAAAAGAAGGAGAGAGATAATTACAGTGGGAGAATAAGGTAAGAAGAGAGATAGAGGAAGAGGAATGAAAAGAAAAACAAAATAACAGGCACTTTGAATGAGTGAGAGGGCAAGAAAAAGGAAGAGAAGCATTGAGAAAACTTACCAAGTACCAGATGAAGTCAAGCTAATTCAGGTGTGAATTTGTCTGATGGCCTAGAGATTCTCCACTTTATTTGGTTTTTAATAAAACAAATTTTCAGTTTGAGCGCAGAACTTAAAAATTGTGAATTAACCCTTATATAAAAATGCATCAGTTGTAGCCACTACAGCTATTGTCAAAAGTTACAAAGGCATTGGGACAAAACAGTATAGGACATACACAGATGAGTAAAGCGATGTTTGCTGCATTTATGGACCTGATAGCTTGTTGGGTAGATAGACACATACTCAGGTAAGTAAAATAAAAGGCACGTTGGTATGTGCTGTAATGGTAAGGCAGACAGGATACTAACTGGGCGTGGCATAAGGAGAGCTTAGTTTCCACTGAGAAAGATGGGGATGACCAGAAAGACTTCATGAAGGAGGTAACTTGTAAACTAGATTATTAGGAACTGTAGAATTTTTTAAAAAACACAATAAAAGAGTTTAATAAGGTGTCCAGTTTACAAAATAAATCTATAAAAATCAATAGCTTTTGTTTTACACCAATAATAACCTGGCAGAAAATGTAATGGGAGGAAAATTCCATACACAGTCATAACAGTAAATATGCAATACCCAGGAACAATTCTCCTGAGGTGTGTTGAAGTCCTAGACGAATGCTTTAAAATTTATTTGCAGACAGGAAGACATATCATGTTCCTTAAAGGGAGCAGTTGATAGTAGTTTGAATTTTGTGTGTTGTAATTCTCATTACATTTGTATTAATTTGTTCTGGCATCTGTATTCCCCATGATGCTGTAAGCTCAATGAAGCCAAAGACTCCGTGTCATTCCCTGCTGTGTTCTAGTGCATGTCCAAGAGGAATTGTAGAGTTTTAATAGACGTTAATGAGGAAAGGGGTATTCTAGTAAGAGAAATATGGTGTCTGGGAAACAAAACGTATTTGGGAGTGGCAAGTAGTCCAGGTAGTCCAAGAGGTCTGGAGCATAGGGTGCACAAGGTGATGGTATCTTAGGAGACAGTATGGAAGGAAAGGTGTGCTGAAACTTTGAGGGGCTTCAACTCCAGGCTGAAGAGTTCAGGTTCTACTTTCTGTGTAGCAGGATTAAAAAAGCCCAGGATTTATGAGCAAAGAAATTAAACCCAGAGATAGACAAAATTAGTGATCGGTTTTAATAGTCTAGTTGGTAGATAACAGAGGTCTATAAAGAAAAAAGAAAGAGAGATACTGCAGAGATGGACAGGAATTGTCTAGACTGACTGACTGTAGATGTTGAAAGAAGGAGAGCAGTCAAAGATAGCCAGATTTCAAGCTAGGTTTGGGGAATGGGGAAGGAGGATAATGGGTTCATTTACGAACATTAGGCACTTTACGTCAGCCACAGAGAGATATCAGGCCTACAGTTAGAAAGGCTGAACTCCGGAGAACTTTAAAATTTAGAGAGAGAAAGAAGAGACAGAAGAGGAGTTACGTTTGGGTGTCAGGCTAACCAAGGAACAAGAGTGTTTGAAGAAGGAGAGGGTGGTAAGAAGTGTTACATGCCACCTCATTGGTTTGTGTTTGCCTTCCCACTGTCTTATTTGCTCAGAATTCCTGGTAAGTCCTCTTTAAAAGTTTATTGAAGGTAGAGGTAACAGTCATTCAGGATGAATGAAGTTTGCTATGAAGGAAAAAGATAGAAATGGAATGGTAGCATGGGGGAAGGAAGGGGTGAGAGGGCTTGTGAAGTATATAAAGGAAATTAAAGCATATTTGCAGGATAATATGAAAGCTGGTACGTGTTGGGATGGGGAAAGTTGAAGAGAAAGGATAATCCGGAAAGTTATGATATTAAAAGCACGGTTGGTTGAATTAGCTCTGAAAAAAAGAAGATGGGTAAGTTTCCCAAGATAGGCGTGAAATACTATACATTCTTGCTTTAAAAAGAATAATATGTGAAAGTATAGTGTTATTTTATTTTTCTTTGAGGATTTTTTGAATTACAAAAGCAATATGTGCTTTTAGAAATTCAAACAATATAAAAGTATGTAAAGTAAAATGTTATAGACCTGCTTACCCCTCCTAATTTCCACATCCCAGAGATACCACTTTTAACAGTTTGGTTTTTGTCCTTCCTAGTGTTTCACAGCAATAGTGCTGTTGGCTTTTGGGTGGGACCATTCTTCATTGTGTAGGGCATGATGAGCATTCATCATGTTCATTGATGAACTTTTAAGCATCGTCGCCCCCTCCCCAACTATTCAGTTTGACAACCAACACTGTCCCCTAGCTGTGGTATTATCCCTCAGCTAAGAACCCATAGAGTTCATTTTCAATACATATACAGATTCATTTATAACTATTTTCCTAAAAAAATAGAGTAATATTATACATTTTGCTATGCAACATTTTTTAACCTTATCAATTCTCATTAGGATGTACAAATTTACATTGTCTCTTCTCATGCCTCATCATTTTCTATAATATGGATGTGCCATTATTTATTTAACTTTTCCCTTGTTGACAAATATTTAGATTGTATCTGAGTTTTCACTCATAAATAATGGTGCATCAAGCAACTTCGTTCATCTTGAGTTACAGCCTTAGGCACATATTTCTGTGGGAGTGATTGCTAGAGGTAGAACTATTTGGACAATATGCATTTAATATGTTGAGATTTAATGTCTGTGGTTATTTAAAAATATATACATTAAAATTAAAATATATGGCATAGTGTGATACTTGCTTCTGGCAAAAATCACTTAAATTTTTTATAAATTTGCAGATAACATGTATGTTTATCACTGTAATTTGAAATTGTATAGAGAGAATAGTAAATGTTCCAATACCACATTTTGAAAATAATCCAACTTATCTGTTTTCTAGGTTGCTTTGCCTAATTGATTACTATGAATCTAAAATTAGAAAATTTCATAAACAAAGGTACGACTAGTCCTGTATTACAGTTTTTGAAGTTATTATCTAGTCATGAATTACAACAAAAGTTTCTATGGGCTTTTGAAACAAATATGCTTTGGAAATCTACCTGATATATGTGTAATTTACCTAATATGTTTAACTACAAATTTCCTTTTTTATAAAGATCTTCAAGACTGTACTTTACCACTTATGTTAAAGTATATTGTTGCATTTATATTAAAATATGTATATTTAATAATCACCAAAGTATCGGTCACAGAAGAAATAGTATTTTTCTTCTGTTGAAGTATTATAATTTGTTCTACTGATGTCATCTAACCACTAGATAGTTACTGAGTATATCCACAAAGTGTGTAGGGTTGGATTAGCTGCCTGCCAAAGTACAGCCTAATTAGTATGCAGATTTATATGAGATAAAGATAAAATGTCATAGTGAAAAATCAAGTATATAGAGTAAAGCACAGTTGTCACCTCTGATTAAAGAAATAAGGGTAAAGTTTAAAAATAATGGTCTTTGACTAACCAAAAATAGCTGAAAGATATCTAAGGCCAAATAATCTAAAGTGCTTTAATATAGTTATTAAAACAGTGGCTATTCTGTTTCATTGTTTATAAATGGAACAGTTCTTTTAACAAATATTTGAGCACCTACTTTCTGCCAAGTTCTGTTTTTGTTACTGAACAGATAAAATAGATAAACTAGAATAAAGCAGATAAGTTCTGTTTTCATTAAGCATATCTGCTTTCATTAAGCATACATTGTCTAGTATTCTTGCCCCAAGAGTACTGACTCCAGAAACTCAGTAGGACTGATGGCAGAGCTGTGCTGGTTGCTGATTCCTTCTAGCACCTTGGGGACTCTTAAAAAAGAGCAGGATGGAGGGAAGAAGGGAAGAAAGAAGTGAAAAAGGAAGGAAGGGAAGATGAGACGAGAACAACTAATGATAGAGCAACTCCTTGCTTTGTTCTATTCAGAAAGTAGTATTATACCAATTAACTTCAGAGACCTTCTGATTTTCAAAACTGTGTCTTTTAGATGGTAGGCATGGTGTTAGATAGATTCTAGAGATAGGACAAAGTTTTGTTTGTTTGTTTGTTTATCTTGGCTGCATCAGCTCTTCCTTGCAGCATACGGGATTTTTTTTTTTTTTTTTTTTTTTTGCGGCACACAGGCTCTTCGTTGAGGCATGTGGGCTTCTCTTTAGTTGTGGCGTGCTGGGTTTTTTTCTCTCTTTAGTTGTATCGCGTGGGCTTCAGAGTACGTGGGCTCTCTAGTTGAGGCACACAGACTTAGCTGCCCTGCGGCATGTGGGATCTTAGTTCCCCCACTAGGGATCGAACCTGCGTCCCCTGCATTGGAAGGCTGATTGGATTCTTTACCACTGGACCACCAGGGAAGTCCCTAGGACAACGTTTTGAACACAATTCTTAGCTTCCAGGAATTTGCAATCTAGTAAGGGAAATTAAATGTAAACACATTAATAGTTAAAAATAATATGAGACTTAAAAGACACTAAGGCATAATGTCACAGTAGAGTAATTACTAAAAACTGTACAGACAGTAAGTAATACAGGAGTCGATAACAGGAACAAATTTGTTTTAGATGGAGTAACCAGGGAAGCCATTACAAAGCAGATGGGGGTTGTGCTTGAAGTTGAAGAATAAGTAAAATTTGGGAAAGCAGAAAGGCAAAAAAACCCCACTGCTTGTATGCTTTGAGCAAAAGTTCGTAGATGTAAGAGAGTAGACTTTTTTACGGTACTATAAGCCAGTTTGGCTGGGCTTCATACAGGACCAAGAGTGAGCTATAAGTGAACAAAAAGACATCATTTGCCTTGGAAAGAAGGAAGGTGCTTTTTCCTTTGATACAGAAGAGCTAGTGATGAGGTTGTAGGTATGTGTATTAGGTGGGGTTCTAGAGAGAAACAGAACCAATAGAATGTACATTTATATGCAGAGAGATATTTATTTTAAAGGAGTTAGTTCATGCGATTGTGAAGCTGGCAAGTCTGAAATCTGTGAGGCTGGCATGCAGGCCGGAGACCCAGGGAAGAGTTGATGTTGCAGTGTTGAGGGTGAAGGCAACCTGAAGGCAGAATACCTCCCTTCTTGAAGATTTCAGTCTCTGCTCTTAAGGTTTTTAACTAATTGCACAAGGCCCACCCACATTATGAAGGGTAATCTGCTTTATTCAAAGTCTCTTGATTTAAATATCACATCTAAAGAGTACCTTATGGCCATATCTAAACTGGTGTTTGACCAAGTAGCAGGGCACCATAGCCTAGCCTAAAATGAACAATCATAGTATGTAAGAGTAAAGAGAAGGCAAATGAATAATTTCATTTGAGAGGTTGTAAACTGTTAAGCTTGCAGAATCAGGAAAATAATGAAAATGAGTAAAGCAGGTTAGGTGGGAGCTGTGGCAAATTGGAGAGCTGTGTACCATCAGTCTCAAGGGGGCAGTTAAACTGTACAGTCTGTGAGGAATGTGAGCCCACTGTAGCTAAATCTGCTTTTTTGAGAAGTTAGAATGTTAGGTTTATAAATGAAATCAGACTTTTAATGTTTGCAACTAAAACTCAGTGCTCTACAACATATTATACAGTCCAGGCTGAATATTATTTGAAACCTTTGCTCTATATCTTTAATAAATTGTAATCTGGATTCAGGACTTGGTTGACTTTTTTTCTGTAAAGGGCCAGACTGTATGTTTTTAGGCATTTTAGTCTGTATAGTCTCTCACCACTGCTCAACTCTGCTGTTGTAGCATGAAATGAGCCATAGACAATAAGTAAATGAATTGGCATGGCTGTGTTCCATAAAACATTAATTTAAAAAAGCCTGCTAGATGTTGCCCACAGGCAACAGTTTGCTGACCACCAATCTAGATGATGAAGAGAGAACATTTGGGATTTGTAGTAAGAGCAGAGAAGATTTAGTATAGCCATCATTGAAATGTCTTGTGTAGAATGTGGTGTGAGAGGTTGCCTCTGAAGTTGTGCAAGCTGGCATTCTCTGACTAAAAATAATAAAAGGATTGAGGCCATTGGTGGGGGGTGGTGTTGAATCTGGTTGTCATGAATTTGTAGTGAAAATCTGGGATTGAGGAATGAGGACCTTGGAGGAAAGGAATTACTTTTTTGCTTAGCAATCCTATCATCATTGGTCTAGCTTAAGTGAAATATAATACTTTGGCCGGTGCAAACTACGCTCAGGTCAGATACTTGGACTGAATGTCTCATTAAGGGAGAAGGATATAGGAAGAAAATAGGGGCTGCATTATACATAATGTTCTCACAGGTGGAAAATTAGAAATCACTTATACTTTGCAGTGATGAAGGGTCTGCCCTGAGGAGAGTTTTTCATAGTTCATTGACTGAACAAAGTTTATCAGTCTCTTTTCTAAGAGTAAATACTAACTTGATAGATTGTAGGAACTTCAAGGTGGATTTTGAGATCTGCAAATAGGATATTAGTATCACCTGAAGAAGCAGGAGTACTCTAAAAGGAGGGTGTAGAATTAACTGACAAGTATTATATTACTAAAAAAAAAAGGCAAAAGAGAAGGGAAAATGAAGGAAGATGGGCTATGATTTGGAGGCCTAAGTGGGATAAACAGGAAGCACAGGAGGAGGACGCATACACCTGTAGAGCTAGGGGAGCAAGACCAAAGGAGGAAGACAGATGGGACATGGGCCTCTTGCAGAGGTAGAAGCCCTCTGTTTAACACTCACTTTTTTTTTTTCGGTACGTGGGCCTCTCACTGTTGTGGCCTCTCCCGTTGCGGAGCGCAGGCTCAGCGGCCATGGCTCACGGGCCTAGCCTCTCTGCGGCATGTGGGATCTTCACAGACCGGGGCATGAACCCGTGTCCCCTGCATCGGCAGGCGGACTCTCAACCACTGCGACACCAGGGAAGCCCAAACACCCACTTTTTAAGGGCAGTGTTGTCCAAAGTTTTTCTCATCATGAAATACAGAAAGTGATGTTTGTGTACCACACTGGGGTCTGTCCAGTTGTCCTGAGGGCTGAGAGAGATGAATATCTTGGCACCTTTGTAATACCTTTGCACAGCACACCTATGGCACACCATCTGGACCCTCATTTTAGGGCGCAGGCTTGAGAAGGCCTCCAGAGAGCTCATGAAAGGCAGTTTCTGAATACTATGGACTGGTATTCCTTTCTGCCTCCATACATGAGAAAACTCAGGGAAAGCAAAGGAAGCTGCAATCAAGGCAGCAGATATTTGAATACAAGTGTTAAGCAGTTGGAAATCTTAGAAAACTGCAAACATGGTATAACCTCTGAAACAGAGGAAAAGTAAATTTTAAAACGATAGGCTCTCAGCTATGTTGTTACTTTACCTACTTTTTAAAAAAATATTTATTGAATTTATTTTTGGCTGCATTGGGTCTTCATTGCTGCACGCGGGCGTTCTCTAGTTGTGGCGAGCAGAGGCTTCTCTTCGTTGCAGTGTGCGGACTTCTCATTGTGGTGGCTTCTCTTGTTGCGGAGCACAGGCTCTAGGCGTGTGGGCTTCAGTAGTTGTGGCTTGCGGGCTCTAGAGCGCAGGCTCAATAGTGTGGCTCACGGGCTTAGCTGCTCCGCAGCATGTGGGATCTTCCCGGACCAGGGCTCAAACCCGTGTCCCCTGCATTGGCAGGTGGATTCTTAACCACTGCACCACCAGGGAAGCCCCTACCTACTTTTCTTTACCCAGAAATATATATCACTGTAGATTACTATATCACTATATGGTAATATAGATTAATATATCACTGTAGATTACATGGAATATATTGCTGGCTTTTTCTATTAGTATTTCCCTGGCTTGGTAGATAGATTAAGGAGCCAAGGAAAGTAACGTAGGAATAAAACCTACAGGCCTCAGATTGAATTTCTTCTGAGATGTCAGAGACATTTGGAAAGTTACCCCAAGGAAAATAGTTCTATAATGAATTAGTAAAGTGAAGTCCCCTTGTCTAATTCCATCCTTCTTTTTAGATAGAAATTTTTAAATTGGTCTTGGGAAATGGAGGCAGGTGGATTTGAGATTAACCTCTGACTGAACATGGTTTGGATTAGGGAAGAAAATAAAACACAGGATTTCTCTAGTTTTGCTCTTTCTCCCCACCCCTAAGGAGCACGATCTTCAACACTGGGTCCCTCCTGAGGCTTCTGGAGGCCATTGGAGAAAGAGTGGGAGGAATTTGGCTGTGGGGATCCCATGTCCAAATGAGAGTTTGTGGATGCTTAGAATTATGTTTTTACTTCAGGAAAACCACAAAATCTGTCAATGCTAAATAAAGAACTACAGGAAAAGAAAGTGAAGATTCTTTACTGAAACTCATTTCCCTTTAGGTCTGCATACATTTAAAATTGGTCTCCTCTACTATATTCATATATTAGGTTTCTCTTGAGAACAAGTATAGCCATAGTGGCAGGTATTTTAGAGTATATATAGGGAATGATGTGAGTGCATAGGCTTTGGAACCAGAGAGATTTCAATTTGAATCTCACTACTACTACTAACTATTTGCGTGACTTTGAGCAAGTTAAATAACTACTCAAACTCCTCACCTGTTAAATGTGAAATAGTTTGTATAAAACATCTATTTTAGTACTTGTTATATAGAGGCTACTCAGTCATCCTTATTTTAGTCATCTTTCCTAAAATGGTCATTTGTTCAAGGCTAGCATGTGTTTTAGAAGAAGGTCTGAGGGATATATTAGTACAGCTGTCTCGAATAGAAATGTAATGCAAGCCACATATATAATTTCGCATTTTCATGTAGCCAAGTTGAAAAGTAAAAAGAAACCAATGAAATACATTTTAATATATTTTATTTAATATCCAGGTTAACAGTACAGTTAGTCTTTGTAACCCTTCCATGGCTCAACCCATAAGCATTGGCAAAAAACACAAGATTGTTAAAGTCATTTTGTTTCAGTGGTTCTGCAAACTGGTATAGCATTTACACAGGTGCTGTATAATTTTAACAACTATATTCATGACACTGTCATAGTCTGCTTCAGAAAACTGAGCACATTTCTAATATGTATTATACAGTATAACAAAGCAATGAGAAACATCAGTCTTTTGAACATTCCAGTAAATCTGGATTTTTGATGTTACAAAGCTAGAGCACCTTCCATTGTGGAAAAAAATGATTTTTTCATATCTAGCTGAAATTCTTCTTTGATAGATATGTAAAATTCAAAGACACACCGTAAGTGTGATATTTTTATTTTAACACCTCAAATTGTCAACATTTCTTGGTAAATCTGGAAGTCCTCTGAGACAGAACATTCCCAAAGCGTTAATTGAGATATGATTCATCTAAAGATAAAGAAACGTATTTGCAATTTTTAAAATTAAATCAATTCATCTTTGATGTTATAAGAAAGGTCTTGTATTCTCCAGGCAGTTGTTCATGGGCTTAATTGAAGATCTTTCACTTTTTTATAAAAATAACTTTCGTTTTCTCATAATTTTCCAAAAAAATTTCCATAACAAATAATTTATTTCATGTAAGGACAGTTTCTGTTTTTGTGCAACACTTCAAAATGTTTTATAGGTGGCCAAAATTATAACCTCAGATTTTGCTAAAAAATTATTTTAAAAGTTTTTGTTGTATGGTTAATTTTGGTTTCAGTGACTTTAATTCTTTTTTGACTGTTGAAAGGAAACTTCTTAATATGTTCATTATGTATTTGCTGAAAATGCGTCCTATCGTCATCTACTTTATTATCCTAAAAGATTTTTTATATAACAACTTTTTAAAATAAACAGCTTTATTGAGATATAATTCACATGCCATAAAATTCACCATTTTAAAGCATACAATTCAATGATTTTAGGATATTCACAAAGTGTGTCATCATCTCCACAGTCAATTTTAGAACATGTTCATCACCCCATTGAGAAACCCTGTTGGCAATCACTCCCCGCCCTGAGCCCCTACTCTGCTGCAACACAACATCACAAAATATACAATTCCATTTACATGGAATGTCCAGAGTATGCAAGTCCATAAAGACAGAAAGTAGATGAGTGGTTGCCTAGGAATTGGATTGTAGTAGAGTAGGGACTCAGGGCAGAGAGGAGATATGGGGAGTGATTGATAACGGGTATGGTATTTCTCAGTGGGGTGATGAACATGTTCTAAAATTGATTGTCGAGATGGTGACACAACTTTGTGAATATCCTAAAGGGATATCTCATTGTGGTTTTGATTTGTGTTCCCCTAAGGACTAATGATGAGTGTCTTTTTATAGGCTTATTGTCCATTTGCATATCTGTTTTGGAGAAATGCCTACTCACATCCTTTGCCCATTTTTAAATTGACTTTTTTGTCTTTTATTGTTGAATTGTAAGAGTTCTTTATAGCAAATTATAGTAGCATTCATTAGGAAATTTGTGGCATACGTTCTTTCAGTCTCTTTTCTTTACTGTTCCAATTATTGTACTGTCTCAGATGTTATCATCTCCACTTGATTCTGTTAAAAATTTGTCCATAATTATTTTTTAAACTAAAAAAGTTTAGTTCTTATAATTAAAATAATAACTATATTAATGATCAATTATGATTTATATAGGCATCACCATAAATATAGTATCATAACAAACACCTTACAATGTTATATTGGTATATAGGAAAAAAAACATTCTAACTGAATCAATCCTTTGATACTGACTAGACTGGTGGTGTGTTTGTATATAGTACTACAAACTACCCACGCACCCATTGCACAACTAGGCCACAACATTAATACCTTAACATGATGCATGGTAGTGGTATATAGTCCTAAACAATAAAGTCGTGTTTAACAGAAGAATATTTTACACTGCTTCAGTTTTTAAATTTTAATTAAAATGAAATAGAATTGGGCTTCCCTGGTGGTGCAGTGGTTGAGAATCTGCCTGCCAATTCAGGGGACACGGGTTCGAGCCCTGGTCTGGGAAGATCCCACATGCCGCGGAGCGACTGGGCCCGTGAGCTACAACTACTGAGCCTGTGCGTCTGGAGCCTGTGCTCCGCAACAAGAGAGGCCACGACAGTGAGAGGCCCGCGCACCACGATGAAAAGTGGCCCCCGCTCACTGCAACTAGAGAAAGCCCTCACACAGAAACGAAGACCCAACACAGCCAAAAATAAATAAATAAATTTAAAAAAGAAAAAAATGAAATAGAATTAAAAGTCTAGCTCTTCAGTTGCATTAGCTATATTTCAAGTGCTCATTGCCTGTGTGTACCTAGTGTTTACCGTATCGGACAGCCCTGTGTTAGTGTATCAGGATTTTTAAAAACATTAATACTGATTTTCTAGTACATTATAGCTCACAGAATGCTTTGATATCTTTTTAACTTTTAACACCAATTCTGTGAGGTAGATGTGACAGAAATTATCTCTGTTTTACAGATGAGAAAACAAATTTTGAGAGACTGACCTACCCAAATAACACAACTGGTTAATGGTGATGTCAAGACTTGAATCAGGGACACTAAGTCTGTGGCCTTGTCCACTTATACTCTGCATTTTTTTAAAAAATAAATTTATTTATTTATTTTTGGCTGCATTGGGTCTTCGTTGCTGGGTCTTAGTTGCTGCACGCGGGCTTTCTCTAGTTGCGGCAAGCAGGGGCTAGTCTTCATTGCGGTGCGTGGGCTTCTCATTGCGGTGGCTTCTCTTGTTGTAGAGCTTGGGCTCTAGGTGCACAGGCTTCAGTAGTTGTGGCATGCAGGCTCAGTAGTTGTGGCTCGTGGGCTCAGTAGTTTTGGCTTGTGGGCTCTAGAGCGCAGGCTCAATAGTTGTGGCACACAGGCTTAGTTGCTCCGCAGCATGTGGGATCTTCCCAGGTCAGAGCTCAAACCCGTGTCCCCTGCATTGGCAGGCAGATTCTCAACCACTGTGCCACCAGGGAAGTCCCTGCATTTTTTGATATAGATATTTTTGTGACCTAAAAGTACTAGAAGGAAAAAACAATATGCTTTGTTTGTTTATTCATTCAAGAAGTGTTTTTTCACCACCTCTTATGCCCCATATTCTTCTGGGCAGTGAGATACAATGGTGAACAAGACAAAGTTCTGGTCTTCATGGATCTTACCTTCCAATTAAGGCATTAGTGAACAAATATATACTATAGCACTAGGTAGTAAGTAGTATGTTCTAATACCATTTTCTGTGAGAATAAGTAGGAAATTTAGCTTAAATTTTAGTTCATGTTTAGGCTATCAAACCCTTATTGTATTGATTTGATTTTTGTTAGCTAGATTTTTTTTCTTTGAAGATAAATTTTTCATAAATACACTGCATGTATCTTTTCATAGGCAATATGAAGAAGATGAAAGTCAGTCAGAAGAAGACTACAGGAGTCTGAGTGCTTCACCTACTTATAAAGGCCTTCTAATGGTATGGGGACTATATGACTGATAAATACTTTTTTTATAAAGCAAAATGATAATCTAAATAATCTCCCAGGAAAGTTAACTATATTTTTATGAAATGTGTTGCAGTCATTACAGAATCAACTCAAGGAATCGAAATCTAAGATAGATGCACTTTTAAGTGAAAAGCTGAATCTCCAGAAAGATTTGGAAACCAGGTGAGAGAAACTTGTCATTTTTATTTAACTTCCATTTAAGCATAAACTGGAATTTTGAATATTAAATAAATCATTCTGTCCCCTTTACTCTAAAACTAATGTTGGGGACCTCATACTCATACTTATTTTAGTCATTTGTCTCTCATATCATGGAAAGAGCAAAAATACATACATAGGCAAGGGAAGTGAGAAAATAGGAAGAAGATAAAACTGGGTAGGAACTCAGAATATATTCAGTCTTAAGCCAGCAGGTTTCCCTTTCCCAAATAACTTTATTTTTTATTTTAATTGTTTTTTCCAAATTACTTTAGAATGTCTTATTACCTCATCATATGCCTGTGTTGTGGGAAGGGGGAATTAAAAAGTTTAAATGGCATACAACAGAAAGGTTTATTTATGTACATCGTACAACCACAAAAGGATGGCACTCTACCTGTTAACAGAGAGTAATAAGGAATGCACACTGCTGAGACTTTTTTATTCAACAAATATTTGTTGAATACCTATTGTAAGTTAGACATGGCCTTAAGTTCTGGGATAATATATAATAAGCAAAACAAATACCTTGTTCTTGTAAATCTTATACTTTAATGGAGAGGAGACTGATACCTACAGTAAAAACCATTTCTATAAAGTTTAAAAGCCTGCCACATAATAATGTGTAAATTTATGGTTATATAAATATGAGGTAAAAATTTATAAAACATGCATGGGAAGAATGAAGAATGAATTTCAGATAGTGGTTACCTGTGGTATGGGAAGGAGAGCAATGACAGTAATCAGGGTCACACATGGAGTTTTAAGTACATGTATAATGTTTTAGTTAAAATATTTGAAACAAATTACTATTCAACTTTGATAAAGCTTGAGCGGTGGACACAGTACTATTTGTCTTACTATTCTCTATTCTTGTCCGTACATTTGAGATAATTCACTATAAAAACAAGTAATAGATTAATAACAATAAAAATGGGTAGAAAGTTTTGAACAGGGAATACACAGAAGAAGAAACCCAATGGCCAATAAATACCTCATTAGCAGTCATGAAATTTTTTTTTAATTGATTAATTTATTTTGGTTGCGTTGGGTCTTAGTTGCTGCATGTGGACTTAAGTAGTTGTGGCACGCGGGCTCAGTAGTTGTGGTTTGCGGGCTCTAGAGCACAGACTCAGTAGTTGTGGTGCACGGGCTTAGTTGCTCCCTGGCATGTGGGATCTTCCTGGACCAGGGCTGGAACCCGTGTCCCCTGCAGTGGCAGGCGGATTCTTAACCACTGTGCCACCAGGGAAGCCCAGCAATCATGAAATATTTTAAGAATTTTTAAGCATATTTGTGACAAGTAACAGGGTATACACTATTGTTTATTATTAAATATCTTTACGGTATAGTTTTATTAAATAAAAATAAGTGCGTTCAACATGATTTATCTTCTGCAGGCCCACACAGCATGAATTAAGACTTTATCAACAACAGGTGAAGAAGCTGGAGAAAGCCCTTAAGAAAAGCATCAAGTAATTATATTTTACTAAAGTTAAAAATTTATTAAGATTTTGTATCTTATTATTTATTTTTATTACCTGTCAGCTTACCCCATAGTGACCGTGGCTCAAAATTACCAGGCTGATGGGGGGAAATGACATTAAAAATGGATATTTCTGGTTCCACAGTTTTAAAGGTTTCTACTGTATTGGATTTGGCTGTATATGCATCTTAAATAAGAACAAGGAAAAGGTAATTGTCTGATATAATAAAAGGCAAAGACTTTAATTAGAAAGTTGTCTTTGAAAGTCATGGAGGAATTGCAAGAGAATCATTGAAATTAGAGGTGACAAGGCCCAAATTTTTGTTGATGGTAGTTATGACATGAATAACATATAGCCTCATCGTATTTTAAAACTAAAGGTTGGGGCTTCCCTGGTGGCGCAGTGGTTGAGCATCCGCCTGCCGATGCAGGGGACACGGGTTCGTGCCCCGGTGTGGGAAGATCCCACATGCCGCGGAGTGGCTAGGCCCATGAGCCATGGCTGCTGAGCCTGCGCGTCTGGAGCCTGTGCTCCGCAACGGGAGAGGCCGCAACAGTGAGAGGCCTGCGACCGCAAAAAAAAAACAAAAAACTAAAGGTCCCAGAATGAATGCAGTGTGTCACTCATATCCACCACCTCTCTTTTATGACTTTGAAAAGCATGTACTCAGGAGTTTCAAAAAGTTGGTCTTCAAATAGTGATAGTATTTTCTGAAGATTAGCTATGTGTACTCTTTGATTCAAGGGAATGGGACTTGAAGTAGTGCAGTGAGCACTGAGATGAAATATTTTAAAAATGACATGAGTTAAAATATGCATTAGGTGTATTAAATCAGTTGTATTAGCATATGTTGATTCAATTTTCAGTGACAGCTGTTTCCTCCTTATGGCAGCACATGCCACAGTGAAAGGGAAGTATAGTATTCTGGCCATCCAGGAATTACATATTGAGTTAAATTAAGGAAGGAAAACTAAAAAAGAAAAGAGAAGTGAAAGGTTTGGAAAGGTTGCCTTCATTCATTCAATTAATATTTTTTCCCTTCCTACTATTGCTTGATATTTTAGGTAGCTGTAGTACCTCTTTCTATCTGCTTGGCATTCTGCATACTGAAATTACAGTGGTAAATCAAATAGAAAAGGTTCTTGCTCTCATGAAGGTTATGTGAAGGGGGAAGGGCAATGAAAAAATAAATGACAATTTAGATATAATATAAGTACTAAAGGTGAAATAGTGTGAGAGTTGCTATTGTATGAGTTTGGACAAGAAGTGGTAGTGACATGGTCGAAGGTGGCAGTAGTGGAGATAGAACTGATAGGACTTGGTGATGGATTGGGGATATAGGCAGCTGACGGGGGGAGAAAAATCAAGAGTCAACTTAAAAAAATCAAAAAATCACCTAATCAAGACTAAGTTTTAGTCCTAAATAACTAGGTAGTTGTTGGGGCATTAACTGAGATAGGAAAATTGGTCAAGGAGCAGCTGGGAAAAGGAGGATGTAAGGGAGATAAAAAGTCAGAGAAGGTGTAAGGGAGGAAAACTTCTCAGCCTTCTTAAGGTCTCTGGCTGGACCTGAAAATTAAACTGACAAAGACAGATTAACATGAGAAAAGTATGTAAATTTATTTAATGTAAGTTTTGCCTGACCTGAGAAGAAATGAAGACTTGAAGAAATTGTTAAGCTTGAGCATTTACTAGGTTTGATGAAGAGTGGAAAGTTGTGGGAAAATGTGATAGTACAAAAGGGTATGAGCTAAGGGTAATAAACTGGGGGAAATTCAGATTCCTCGTCTTCAGAGATAAAGATGCTCCTTTCCTCTGGGTACAGGGAGGGCACCTGTTGCATGAGGGTCTTATGGTCTGCTTCAGGGGAGAAGGGGGAGGTCAGAGTCCTTCCTGCTCCTGCCATTTCTCAAATTCCTTTAGCTTAAAACATTTCTTATGTCAAAGTGGCATATTTTGGGTTTTTTGTTTGTTTTTGTTTTTGGCCACACCATGCGGATTGTGGGCTTTTAGTTCCCCAACCAGGGATTGAACCTGGGCCACGGCAGTGAAGCCCGGAATCCTAAGCACTAGGCCATCCCTCAAAGTGGCATATTTTGGAGCGGCATATCCTGATCCCCTTCAAAAGAATCTTAGGACTTCAATGTAAATGTATCAGTGAAGATACTCACACACATAAAGGCATGCACATATATTCATAGAGATATCTAGTCGTTTCCTCATTATTCACAGATTGCATATTTGTGAATTTGCCTATCTGCTAAAATTTGTTTTTAATCCCCAAATCAGTAGTGGTGGCACCTGCACAACCATTCATGGATGTGCCCAGTATACACATTTTCAGCTGCTGAGCGACGTGATGCTCTGCCCTTTTGTTTCAGCTTTCATAATGTAAATAGTCATTCTTTTTGCTGTCAGTGCCACTTTTATTTTTTCATTTTTTGCTTTTTGTTGGTGATTTCTCCAAGATGGTCCCAAGCATGGTACTGAAGTGCTGTGTAGTGTTCTACACACAAGAAGGCTGTGATGTACCTTGCAGAGAATATACATGTGTTAGAGAAACTTCATTTAGGCATGAGTTATAGTGCTGTTAGCCATGAGTCCAATGTTAATGAAACAACAATATTTAAAAAGATGTCTTTATAAACATTAACACACATAAAACAAGGTTATATATATTGATCAGTTGAGGAAAATGTGACCAGAGGCATGCAGGAACCTGATCCTGTATTTCCCCTAGCAGCAGTGGTTCAGTCTTCACTAATTCAGTGTACATGGTGACTTTATAGAGTATAACTACCATGAATAATGAGATTTGATTGTGTATATGTTTTTTGTTATTCATTTGGGAACTGGTTTTTAGAGTGACTTCACTATCAGACTTTAAAATTGTGATTCAGAACCAATCCCTGCTATGTATTCCTGTTGAATTTTGAAGAAATGATTTGCATTTTGAATAAAGGATTTGTGTTTTTTTAGAAATTTACAATTGGAATTTTAAAAAATCTGTCATTAATTTGTTTTTAAGTTTGGAACTTTTGTAGTATCTAGATGTGAAACAGAGAATTAGGAATGTTAGATAACTTGCCCATATTGCACAGGAGGTGGTATGTGGAAGAACTTGGAAAGAAATCAGGTCCATACCCAAGCATTTGGACTCTCAAGCTCACACTCTTAACCACCACACTGATAATTAAAACCAAACAGAGCACCCAATGAAAAAAACTTTTTCAATGTAAAAAATTTTCAAATTTTTATTTTCTGCTGGGGCAGAGGTAGAATATTTTTTTCAAAGAACTACTGTGATGTTAGGGAAATAATCAAAAATAAAAATCTCCAGGGGGATGCGCTGGTCCCCAGCATGGTGGCCGCTTGGCCCTCCGGGCTGGTTGCTTCCAAGACTGCTGCTGCTCGGCTCCTGGCTGTCCTGTGGGCTGTGTCAGTAACCACAGGAACTTGGGGAGCTGCCGCCGGTGGCAGCAAGGAGTCACTTAAGTGCGAGGACCTCAAAGTGGGACAGTATATTTGTAAAGATCCAAAAATAAATGATGCTACACAAGAACCAGTTAACTGTACAAACTACACCACTCATGTTCCATGTTTTCCAGCACCCAACATAACTTGTAAGGATTTTGGTGGCAATGAAACACATTTTACTGGAAACGAAATTGGTTTTCTCAAGTCCATATATTGCCAAAATGTGTTTGTTAAAGTTTTACACTGTAGGATTTTGTGGAATTGGGAACCTAATTGATTTCATTCTTATTTCAATGCAGATTGTTGGACCTTCAGATGGAAATAGTTACATTATAGATTATTATGGAACCAGACTTACGAGACTGAGTATTACCAATGAGACATTTAGAAAAATGCAGTTATATCCATGAATATTGTTTAAAAGAAACAGATTTGGGCCTCCTTGATTTTAATAGAGAGCTCTCTGTGTGTAGATTTCCAGATTTTCCTTTTTCCGTCTTCACATACCACATTATGGATTCTGTTTAATTTTTTGTTGTTGCTGATGTTTTTGTTTTGTTGTGTCAGTTAAAAACATATTATTCTGCGATTTATTTAATAGAACTTTGAGATTTATATGATAATACAGTCTTTCTTAGGCCACTGTCTCTATGAGATAGATAGCTTATTACTCTGATATTAATGTATTTTCCAAAGGCAAGTTGCCACTTGTCCTTTTCGCTTCTGAAAAATAAAAGTATGACTTATTCAAAAAATTAAAAAAAAAATCTCCTGTCAACCCAGTGAATCCTCTCCACATATGTAGGAAAAAAAAGAAACAGTTTTATATAACAGTTGGAATAAATATCCAGCCAGACTGCAGTGTGCATTAGAGGCAACCTGCTAAAGAGATTTCAAAGACCGAAAGAAATCTCACCCTTTAATATAGCCAGGCAGATATGCAGTCCATTGCATACATGGAATTGTCTTTAGCCAAAGGAAAAATGAAACGTATCTTCATGACAAGGAGGAAGTTACAATTTAGAGCCAGGAGCATAGGCTAAGCTCCAACAGGGAAAAGGAGACAAGGCACCCTCTTCCCTGATGTCCACCTTTGAAGAGATGGTTCTAAGGTTCCCAAGAAAGACATTGCTAGGATACAAAATTGGCAGGAGGCTTACGTAAATTTTAACAAGATCTACATACTTCTTAGGATTTATAACTACAGGTTTTCCAAAGGAAATGCTACAAGAAAAGGAGAGGAAAGTCTCTCCCCCCACCCTTATTTTTAGAAATTTATTTATTTATTTATTTATTTATGGCTGCATTGGGTCTTCGTTGCTGTGCACAGGCTTTTTCTAGTTGCGGCGAGCGGGAGCTACTCTTCGTTGCGGTGCGCGGGCTTCTCATTGCACTGGCTTCTCTTGTTGCAGAGCACAGGCTCTAGGCTAGGCGCGTGGGCTTCAGGAGTTGTGGCATGCGGGCTCTAGAGCGCAGGCTCAGTAGTTGTGGCGTACAGGCTTAGTTGCTCCGCAGCATGTGGGATCTTTCCGGACCAGGGCTTGAACCTGTGTCCCCTGTATTGGCGGGCGGATTCTTAACCATGGCGCCACCAGGGACGTCCCTCTTTCCCTTTGATAACTAGAGAAAATTAATATTTTTCTTTAGTCTGTAGTTACCTTTCAACTAACCAGTCTTCAAATATCAAATTAATTTAACATGGGAAAGCTTCTTGTTTGAGTTAATATTACAAACAAGTTGGTTATAAAGTTCTGTTGCTGGGAAGTGATCAAATAGGTCTGCCAGTGCAAGATAACCAAAGGTACTACACTAATTCCATTTAATTTTTCAGCGGTATTTATATTTTGCTAGAAGAAAATAAAATCAGAATTTCATCACCCTAGTGTTGAGCTGACAGGAGTTGAGGTGGTCAGTTAGGACAATGAGCCAAACTGAAATTAACAATCAAGGCTTTACTGACTTACTGCAGTAATATAGGAAAGAGGCCAAAACAGGACTGGCTCCTCGGTGTTCCATTTTTCCCCATAGAATGGCACCAGGTAAGGGTCAATCAATGACATGCTGCACAGATGACTCCTGTTTTTTCATGGGCCTAGGGGAAGGGCAGGAAGTGGAAAAATACTGAGTCAGAGTGGAAAAAGTGTTTTAGTTAAGGCTCCCCCATCTATCCCCCAAAGAGAACTCCAGAACAGGAGTCACCATGAGATTATGGAAAGGCTTCAACAGACACAGTTAAAAGCTATAAAGTGTCTGCACATAGAAACTTATCAACATAGTTTTTAAGTTGGGAGTACAGTTTTCTGGATTTCCAGACTCCACAAAGAAACATAGCTGTTGCTGCTAGCTATGTGGAATGGGTGTCTGCTAAGTATGTAAAGAATTCCTTAGCCATTTTAGGAGACTTTTATGGCCTTCAGGCTCTGCTCACTACTCTGGAGACTATAAAACAACCCTGGAATATTTCTGAGTACAGCATATTCTGTTCAAACATGGGTTTCTAAAACACCGATTAAGTCATATGCAATTGGAAAATAAGGGAATGATTAATAGTATAACATAGAAGTTGCATTGTTTACATGCACTTTTTTCCTAGGTACAAGGAGTTAGCAGTATAGTATAGACTTCAGGAAGGGGAAAGCTTTGCTAGTACATAGGCACCTGCCCTTTCAGATCTATCTTAAGAAAATTTAAAATGAGAAACTGCACCCAGGGCTCCCTCCCTGACCCTCAGCATTAGACAGACTATAGGCTGGAGGCAGGTTGAGCTTCTTTCCTCACCTATTTTAACATCAGCTTCTTTGGCCAGGAGCAGGTTGCACTTCTTTCCTCACCTATTATAACGTCGACTTCTTTGGCCAGGAGCTCCACTTCCATCTTCATAGTTTTGGCATCCTCAAGCCAACGTTTCTGCTCTGTTGGCTGTGCATTTGTAATATCGCCTGAGGCAACCTCCAGACATACTTGAGCTGTCTAACTTATCTCCTGAGGCACCAATTATTGTTTTTGTTAGCTGTCTAGTTATAAAGCTGCATCAGTTTTAAATAGTCTGGTTGCTAACACTTACTTTTCTCCTGAACCCTGTTATTTTCACGTGTGGTTTTGCAGAATACAAAAGTTTTCAGGAGTATTATGCTGTGGCAAATATTTACTGTGAGACTAGGTGAACCAAAGGTCAATTCCCCATGAATCCCTAGCTTTTACTAATCCTTACCTTCTGTAAATTTAGAAAAACAGTGGGATTAAATAAATTAATACATGTGAGTGCTTAGAAGAGTTCCTGCATAGAGAAGTTTCTCAATAAATACTAATTATCATCATCACCAGGCTCCCAATATGTTAGTTATCGTTATTACGTTGAGGGTATCTCTTTATTCACCTAATTAATTGAATCACATTTCATTTCCCAGAGTGACTGTAAGCTAGTACATGCAATGATATATATATTCAGGTTACTATACTGACAGTTAAAATATTATATATCCATAGTATAATATTTATTAATCATACTTGCGAACAGTTCATTGATAAATTAAACTTTTCCACCTGAATGAAAGGTTAACTAACATTTAAATTCAGATATGTCAGTTGACTTGTAGTCCCACTATAGAGCTGTTGGCTTTTCTGTGTCACTTTTGTATTCTAGACAGTATGCTCCTGGCACTGCCTTTAGGCAAAACTGTCACATATGTGAATATGGTAAATAGATGGGAAGTCAAGTGGAAAATAGATTGTGAGGTCTCTCTGTCTATTAGAGGAAGGAAGTTGACTTTTTATCTAGAGCTAATTCTGTTTATTTTGTTTGGCATATGCTCACCAGAGAGCAGAGAAAAGCAATTGAGTGAAGATCAAGGGGAATGCATGTGAGTGAAGGAGATAATTGTAAGGTGGTAATAAGAGATGAGGTAAGAAAGGAGTCCAGAGGAATATTGGGTTAGGACTACCAGCATGGAGAATTTCAAACCTAACCCAAGGAGATTGGATTTAGTTCTAAAAGTAGTGGGAAGCCACTGTTTTTTAGTAGGCAAATGACACGATAGAATGTCACTATTCTATTTTACAAACAGCAAGTAAAGCTTACTAACGAGTCATGGAATCAGTTTTAATGGGTCAGGGTTCCACAGGACACTGATAGTCATACTGGTTAATTTGAAGTGGGTTTAATAAGAGACTTTTTTCTAAGGCATGGTGGGTGGGGGAGAAATATTTACTACAGCCTTGACTTCAGAGATATTTGGAGAAGGGCTACTAGGTGGATACACTCGTGTTTTTAGGTTTCTGGACAAAGAGACTTTCCCCCAGAGTTCTGGTAGCCACCTGGGACAATGGTCTCTTGGGTTTTCATGCCCTCTTGACAGGCAGGTATCACTGTTGTCTTCTCTTCGGCACAAGAGGACTATGACGAAGGAAGGACCAAACTGCCTAGCTTTTGCTGCTGCAGTGCCCAAACTGTTTTCCCTACCCATTGTTTGTTGATTCCCTTACCTACAGCATCAAGCTTGGAGTACCTTGGAAGTTGCTTTCATCCTTTACTGTAGTTCTTTCCTATTCTATTTTTTATAAGTGCTGGGGACTGGTTAGAACTTTCTTCATCAGTCTGATCCCTTTAGTTTTCAGGGATTCCTTCTATATTGTGTCTGTTAAGAGGGTCTTCTTGTTTTCCAGTGACAACATGGCTTAAAATTTAAAAAAAATTTATGTATGCATATATGCATGTATGTGCATGCACATAAACACGCATATATATGGAAAATGACAAAGCTTTTGGGAGGGTAGCTGGATCATTGGCTTATTTTTGTCATCTTAATCCAGTGTCTAGTAAAGCATTTTGTATTATCTTGGGTTTTTTCCCCTTTAGATTACAGGATCTTATCAGTCAAAAAAAGGCTGAGGACAAAGAGGGAAAAGATGAGCCCAGCAAAGATAACCAGCAGCAGACCCTAATTGACCAGAGATACTTTCAGGTATTGAACAGTTGACAGAAAGACTGGTGTTTTCAGTGAACCTTGGTTACAATCACAGTATAACAAATTATCAGTTGGTAAGGAATACTTGTATCCTTTATTTGTGTTGCTTAGCCTGTCTTGTCTTGCCATGACATGCTGCTTGGCTAAAAGTTGGTAACTTGACTGAGAATTTGTCTTACCCTTGAAAAGAGACTTTGGCCTGTTCAAAGTAGGGTAGTGAAAAGCTGATAAGATTTTAACAGATTTTATAATCCTTTTCTCTACCTGCTTAAGCCATTTCCCTTTTTATTGTTTTTGTTTTTGCTGTTGTTGATATTATTACATAAGTAAATCTATTTCTTAAGGTCCTTGTATGCTTTTTTTAAATTTAGATATTTAGTCTATCTGAAATTTAATTTTCTATGTGGTATGATATAAAGATCTAACTTTACTTGATTTATAGACCATTTATTATTGAATAAATGAGCAAGTAAGCCTGGTAGTTTACTGACTGAACTGGGCCTGCACTCATATTTTATTGGGCCCATACAGGTTTTTTTAAACTTTGAATTAATTACTAATTTTTTTTTAATTAAGGGATTTTTATTTAAGTGCTTATTTCTAGTTTCTCTTAAAAAGCCAAAGAATCTGGCAGCAAATTCTTGCATAGTCGTTATCAGCACAGAATTAGACCTTTCCCCTGTCACATATGGGCATGTGCTCTTCCGTTAGCTACAGTCCCACCCCGTCCTTGCTTCACTCATTTATGCTCTTACCTGGCTTCTATAGGCATTTGAGTTTGCAGCTTCTAGTTGACCATTCTTTCTCTACTTTACTGAATTGAAACGTATATCATATACCATATGCCCTTAGATGCATAAGTTTGTTTCTAGACTCTCTAGTCTCTTCCATTTCTATACTAATTTCTGTAGCTTTATAGTAGGTTTTGATACCTTTTAAGGTAAGTGTCTTGTTATTGTTCTTTTAAATTTTTTCCTTGGATGTAGTTTTAGCACATTTATTTTCCTGTATGAATAATTTGTCAAATTCAAAAATAGATCCCATTGAGATGAGCTGAAATTGAGTTAATGTTTTAGATTAATATTTGGAAAAATAATACATTTACAGTTTTTTAAAAAACTTTATTTATTTATTTGGCTGCGCCAGGTCTTAGTTGCGGCATGTGGGATCTTTAGTTGCAGCATGCGGGATCTTTAGTTGCGGCATGTGGGATCTTTATTGCAGCATGAGAACTCTTAGTTGCGGCATGTGGGATCTAGTTCCCTGAACAGGGATCGAACCTGGGCCCCCTGCATTGGGAGCATGGAGTTTTAGCCACTGGACCACCAGGGAAGTCACCACATTTACAGTTTTGAATCATCTCACTCGGAAATATGTCTCTAATTTTCTTTGGGTCTTCCTTTCTAGCTTTCAATAAAGTTTTGTATATTTTTAAATTTAGCTTTTGCATATATTTTGTTCTGTTTATTTCCTAGGTTATCTAGTTATCTTATAACTTTTATTGCTATTATGAATGGGATCCTTTTTCCATTACAGTTTCTAATTGGTTGTTGCTGGTTCTTTGTACATCTCTGTGTTGACTTTATGTTCAGGCACCTTTGTGAAAACTGTTTTGTTTTAGATAACTCTCTTGTATCCACTATATAACTAAATTTCATTTTGTTTCTTAGAGTTACTGTGAGAGGGTTTGTTCTTTTAGCAGGGAAATTAAACCATTCATAGACACTGAGACCAACTTATATATCTGCTTTTATTCCTGATATCTTACTTTCTGTTTACATGGTTTCTTGTTCCATTCTTTTCTTTCCTGACATTTGCTAGGTGGAGATTCCTTTGCTCTTTTTTTCTCTTCAAGTACGAAGGACAATCATCATCTTAATTATTTTCTATTCTTTTAATGATTACCCTTAAAAACGTCTTTTTTTTTTTTTACCCATACCAAGAGTTTGTCAGTACCTGCAAACTCTTTCTGAATAAGATGAGACCTGTATTGTGACTTTTCTTTCATAAATTCTAGTCTCTCTGGGAATTTTTTATTTTGCCATTTATTCATTGTTAATACATCTTTTGCTGCCAATCATCAGAGTGTGGCTAAGTTATAAAGAAGAATATATACCTCTAGGAAATCTTGGGGCTTTGCTCTATTGAAGGTGCTCGACTGGGTGATTTTGGGGCACCACTATCCAGAAGTGCTGGTGTCCAGATGCATTTTCCTTTGCAATGAAGAGTCGTGCACTTCAAAACCCTCCAAGATGGATTAGTAATCCTGCTTTGCAGGAAAGGAAAGCTCTCCATTCTCGACCACTGGCCACCCCTCTCCAGAGGCCCTGCTATCGCCCAGGTGCTCCAAGCCGGAAGGGCACTTTTTGGGAATGACCATGCTCCGTGGAGGGACAGAGCCGGCCCCCAGCTTCTCTACACAGAGCCCCCTCCACTAAAGCTCCAGAAATCAAATACCGTAATTGCCAGAAGAAGCGTTAAAAAAAAAAAGTCCAGCCACTAACCTCACACGCAAATGGAATAATCACTCTGGATTCCTCATTGTGAGCTGGTCTCCATACCCTGAATTACCTATGAATTCCATCTTTTTTTTCCTTTGAATTTGCATCTCTTCAAGACACAAGATTATAACAAAATTCACACTAAATTGGATTTTAAATGATCTTCCTTTTATTTATCCTTCGTCTTTCTTATGTGGATATGCAAGTGAGAAGACTGAGACTGGATATTCCCAACATGCTCACTCCCTTAATCTGTCCGTCTAGAGGTTTGGCTTCTACAAACCAAGGCAAGACTCCAGCATCCATGACCTTCCCTGAATTCCAAAGGGCAGATTCGAACAGTTGCTAATCAAGGGAGGAGTAGCCAACAAACCACCTGAGGCAGGATTGAAGGGGCCAGAGAAGATCATCAAGGTTAGGAGACCTGAGATGAGATTAAAGGAGTGCAGGCTCACACCCTGATCTTGTCAGAGACCCCACCTTTGAACCACTGTTATAAACCCCCTGATCAAATCCTCCCAGATCAATTGCAGTGTGGAGCATAGTGCTCCAGTAGATGGCCTGCCAAGCTGAGGTGATGGGCACAGCCGTTTCACAATAGGAACTCTCATCTGAAGAGCAGGGTGCAATTCAAGTGAAACTAGACAAACACAAAGGAAAAGAAAAAAAGATACACAGGTGTTCCACCAGATGTGGCTCTGCCCACCTGAAGGACAAGATCCAGCCCCACCCACCAGAGCACAGGCACCAGTTCCCTCCACCAGGAAGCCTACACAAGTGACTGAACCAACCTTACCTACTGGGGGCAGACACCAAAAATAACGGGAACTGTATGAACCTGCAGCCTGCGAAAAGGAGACCCCAAACACAGTAAGTTAAAATGAGAAGACAGAGAAATACGCAGCAGATGAAGGAGCAAGGTAAAAACCCACCAGACCAAACAAATGAGGAGGAAACAGGCAGTCTACCTGACAAAGAATTCAGAGTAATAATAGTAAAGATGGTTCAAAATCTCGGAAATAGAATGGAGAAAATACAAGAAACGTTTAACAAGGACCTAGAAGAACTAAAGAGCAAATGAACAATGATGAACAACACAATAAATGAAATTAAGAATTCTCTAGAAGGAATCAATAGCAGAATAACTGAGGCAGAAGAACGGATAACTGACCTGGAAGATAAAATAGCGGAAATAACTGCCACAGAGCAGAATAAAGAAAAAAGAATGAAAAGAATTGAAGACAGTCTCAGAGACCTCTGGGACATTAAACGCACCAACATTTGAATTATAGGGGCCCCAGAAGAAGAAGAGAAAAAGAAAGGGTCTGAGAAAATATTTGAAGAATGTAAAATCGATAGCTAGTTGGAAGCAGCTGCATAGCATGGGGAGATCAGCTTGGTGCTATGTAACCACCTAGATAGGGAGGGTTCCAGGGAGATGCAAGATGGAGGGATGTGGGGATATATGTATACCTATAGCTGATTCACTTTGTTATACAGCAGAAACTAACACAACATTGTAAAGCAATTATACTCCAATAAAGATATTTAAAAAACAAAAAAGAAAAAATATTTGAAGAGATTATAATCGAAAACTTCCCTAACGTGGGAAAGGAAATAGTCAATCAAGTACAGGAAGGGCAGAGAGTCCCATACAGGATAAATCCAAGGAGAAACACGCCAAGACACATATTAATCAAACTATCAAAAATTAAATACAAAGAAAAAATATTAAAAGCAGCAAGGGATGAAAAACAAATAACATACAAGGGAATCTCCATAAGGTTAACAGCTGACCTTCCAGCAGGAACTCTGCAAGCCAGAAGGCAGTGGCAGGACATATTTAAAGTGATGAAAGGGAAAAACCTACAACCAAAATTACTCTACCCAGCAAGGATCTCATTCAGATTCAAAGGAGAAGTTAAAACCTTTACAGAGAAACAAAAGTTAAGAGAATTCAGCACCACCAAACCAGCTTTACAACAAATGCTAAAGGAATTTCTCTAGGCAGAAAACACAAGAGAAGGAAAAGACCTACAAAAACAAACCCAAAACAATTAAGAAAATGGTAATAGGAACATACATATTGATAATTACTTTAAATGTAAATGGATTAAATGTTCCAACCAAAAGACACAGACTGGCTGAATGGATGCAAAAACAAGACCCGTATATATGATGTCTACAAGAAACCCACTTCAGACCTAGGGACACATACAGACTGAAAGTGAGGGGAGGGAAAAAGATATTCCATGCAAATGGAAATTAAAAAATAGCTGGAGTAGCAATACTCAGACAAAATAGACTTTAAAATAAAGATTATTACAAGAGACAAAGAAAGACACTACATAATGATCAAGGGATCAATCCAAGAAGAAGATATAACAATTGTAAATATTTAGGCACCCAACATAGGAGCATCTCAATACATAAGCCAAGTGCTAACAGCCATAAAAGGGGACATCAACAGTAACACATTCATAGTGGGGGACTTTA